AAGAGTCTCTTTCCTTTGAAAAAATAAAAAATAAAATGGTTCGAAACAATGGGTCACCACCTCTGTATACACTGCCTTTCTCCTAACCAACCATAAAAATACTGATTTGGAAAATATGAGAATCATTCCACGGGTTATGAGAGAAAATGTTTCCATCGAGATGGTTTTCAGAAGGCATTCAACAGATGTTGTCAGGGTTAGTTAGCTCTCCCCACCTTCCTCAGAGACCTTATGGTATATGATGATAAACAGTTGCATGGTTTTCCAATATCATCAAACTACTTACCCAAGGCTGGCTGGGCTGGCTCACTCACAGCGATGGCCCAGGCCCACCAGGTGGCTGCATGTGAGGAAGCACAGGGTCCTCAGAGAAGGGCCCCAGGCTCAAGTCTGAGCCCCACCTCTGCTGCATCCTAGCTAGTTCAGGTAAACCAGATGGCCTCTCCAAGCCTCACATTCTCTCAAATTAAATGGAAATGCTAATGATATATTTATGAAGTGTTTGCAAGATGCTAAATAAGTTTTTTAATTTAAATATATTTTTATTTCAGAGAGGGAGATTGAAACATCAATGAGAATCATTGATTGGCTACCTCTCCATGTCCCACTTTGGGGACTGAGCCTACAACTTGGGCATGTGCCCTGACTGGGAATCAAATTGTGACCTCCTTGTTCATAGGTTGACACTCAACCACTGAGCCATGCCAGCTGGGTTCAAATAACTTTTAGGAAAACACTTCTTGGACTTTAAAGAGCTATTTAAATGCTCTTTATCTACAAATCTGGTGTGGATGAAAGGCAGGCTTTTGCAGTTCTAATCAGTGGGTGGGTGGAAGTAGCTTTGAAATTGCTAACTGAATGATAATAAGAGGTCATCCCATTATATTTGCTCATTGATCTACCTATGTAACACAACAAAGAGATCTCTGACCCCTCTCTACTCACTCCCTATGTCCATCTTATTATGATACACCATTGAGGAGGTCCTCACTTTCAATAATTTATGACCTCTATTACTAATGGAGAAAACTTTCTTTTTAAAAAATATATATATTTTTATTTTTTTTACAGAGAGGAAGGGAGAGGGATAGAGAGTCAGAAACATCAATGAGCGAGAAACATCCATCAGCTGCCCCCTGCACACTCCCTACTGCGTATGTGCCCACAACCAAGGTACATGCCCTTGACCAGAATCGAACCTGGGACCCTTGAGTCTGCAGACCGATGCTCAATCCACTGAGCCAAACCCGTTAGGGTTGGAGAGAACTTTCACGATGCTGAAAAGTCAGCTCTTGGGACAATATTATCTTTGAAACCCCCAACAGGTATCATGCCTGGAAGAAATAACCCTAAGTTTTGAGCTGGCAATGCAAAAAATAAGGTTCATTTCTAGCCAGGTAAACTTTTCTGGTAGGTATAAAAATTAGTTATGTTTGGTGTGTCTGAGTGGACATGTGGTGTTTTTGCCTTCCCAGAGTGTCCCTTTGGGTGAAAGAACTCTCCTCTTAGAATGTGTGCTTTAAATGGAGCCACCCCCAAGGATGGGCACAAGAGGCGGCTGGTTTTTCAGACAGGTTTCAGACATACAGACCTAAGAAATATTTACTAAACATAACATCCTGTTGTGTAAGATATAATAGCTTTTCAATTAAAATATTGCTTCAACAGGTTTTTCCTAATGGAGAGAACTAAGGTTTACATATGGCTACTAAACCCTCACCAAAATAAGAAAAAATCACTGATCTTCAATTAGTGTTTTATGATTAAAGTACATAGAAAATAAAAGGAATTAGAAAGGTGCATTTATAGTTTCATGACTGCCATTTATTTCTGGATCGTGCACAACATAATTCCATTAATACATTTACTACATTATCCATCTCAGTGCTCACAATATGGTCATCATAATTTGGACATTTGAAAGTTAAAAGTATTGTATTCATTGCTATTAGTACGCTAAAAGAAATCAAGCTTCAGGTTACTTATTTTAAATGTCCATGTTTCCAAACACCACACAAAGTGAAAAAAGTGGCAGAAACGAATGAATGGAAGACAAAATCTTGGGTTCAAACAACACTATGACTACAGTGAGGGAAAAGCCAATGTGCAGCATAGGGTTTTTGCATTCTGTCTTGCCTGAATGCATTTCACAAACTCAAGACCCTAGAGCTTTTAGCATTCCTCAGCCTTTGGGAAGAGGCAAAGGGCAGCATCTTCTTTTGTGGTAGGAACATGAGGCTAAATGTCAGGAGATCTGAGCTAAAAACCCTGGCCATGCCCAAATGACCCTGTGACTTTGTGTAAATTTTGATTCTACAGGTTTATCTAAACCAGCGATCGCCACTGGTGGTCCATGAGGTCCGAAAGGTTGGCAACCACTGACCTAAACCATTTCTGGTGCCAATTTCCAAGTCAGAGGTCCTCTGATTATTAGGAAACTGTAATCACAAAAGAGCACATGAAACCACACCAGTGGTACCACAGCACTGGAGAATTTTTAAGAAATGCAAATTTAGGGGTCCGACCCCAGATATATATGATCAGTAATCTCTGTCTTGAGAAGCAAGGTCTCAGATAATTCTGATGTACACTATACAGTTGGAGAACCACCAGATTAGACAAAAACTACATTTAAGAAATTCACTGTTAAAAAAAAAAGTTAACTGTAGTTCCAAACACAGGATAAAACAAATAAATCTAAACTCCATTATTAGTCTCAGCTGATCAGCCACACATTAATTTTCAGGTTTATGAAGTCCTGAAATCATCCTTTGAAAATCCTGAAAGGACGTAGCCACAAAGGTAAGAGTTAAGGCAATTTTAGCTATGACTAGCCCATGAAACTTAGTTTTACATCTAATTAGGAAAGATTTTAAATTATTTCTTATATTTCCAAAGCTATTTATTATTTAAGAAAAAAGATCATTTCCCTAACCACAAAGGCTTCCTCTTGAATTCTATGAATAATTACTTAATAAAAGGTATATTCAGGTTTATAACATATGCTAAAAGATGAACAAAATATTGTAACATGGCAAGGGCTTTTTACACTGATAAACATAATGAAGTGAAGTTTTGAGTTATTCTGCACATTATAGTGGCTGTAGAGCTGCTTTTCATAATTTCTGCTTTGGTTTTTAATTTCTAATATTATAAGAACCAAGAAAAGTTCATAATATGGGCATAGTGGCTCCATAATCTACTCTGAAAAATATATAATTAAATATGTAATTATGTTATATATAAAATATGTAAATAAATATGATGAAGTATCAGAAAAATTAGTAAATACATAATACTTTACCTTGCTAAAGTATCCTGATCTCTCCTAAATTATTAGGTCTCCACACAACAAAAGGTTTTCTTCAACTTCACAATCCATTCAGTCTTTATTTTCTGAGATTAATAAGAATTGGGCCATTTAGAGAAAAAGACCTCTTTGTCAACTGCTCCATGCTGTTGTTAGACATGGTTCCCATGACACCAAAAGGAAACTACATAGTAGATAAAATGCCTCTAATAATACAATGAAAACCACTGATTTGGAAAATGCAAACATCTGAAATATACTTTTATTTCTTTCCAATTATTACAGGTTTAAAGAAAGACTGGGGGGAAAAATGACTCAGGGAAAAGCAAAACTAATGTGCTAAAACCTAAGCCCCTGAGTCCAGAGAAGAGATTAACCAAAGAATGTATATGCATATATGCATTGCCAATGGACACAGACATTAAATAGAGTGGTGAAGGCCTGGGGTGGGGTGGGAACTGGGTGCAAAGGGGGTAATGGGGGAGAAAAGAGGTTATAATACTGTGATACTCTTAACAATAGAAATTTTAAAAAGGAAAAAAAAAGAATGTGAATGAGGTATCTTTTTGGATTTCTTTTGCTACAACAGAAACTTAGTTCATAAAGCGTTTATTCAACATCGTTGGACTTGTTATATTTTATTTGAAAACAAAGTCATTCCTGCAGCAAGACAGCTTAAACTTGGGAAGATGGCACTACGAGAAAAGACCTAACCTTGCTGCAGTCATCTAGGACTCGGGTGCCAGTGTGGGATGCCCTGAATGGATTTACTCCCGCTAACACAGCACAGCTCGGGAAACGCTAAACATGCTTGCATACAACTAGACATTTAACAGTAGACTGTGTCCTCACTGCATTTTAAAGCTTCTTAACAAACTGACTGCAGGGATAAACTCTAGGTGCACCCAGGAGACACCATTTTAGACAAAAAAGCTGTTCAATTACATTTTTTACAACAGGTAGAGATGTACCATATTATGAAACACTTAACACTGGTAAATTAGCATTTTTTTTTACAAATTTTTCTTAACGTGTGTTCAGATGTTATATTTTTATAATATTTTCACAAAAATTCTATAAACCAATAATCTGAACTGATTAGAAAGGATGACAAAATGAATGCAATATTTAATATTGATTTTATTTGTTTAGTTTGGTAAATGTAGAATGTAATGGTTTCCAAGGCAAACTCTGGATTATTCAATCACAGCTCAACAATTAACATGATTCAGAAGAACAGTCTTATCTTCAATATCTACCCACCCTCTACACAGACACATCTATAGACATCCATGTACATATATATTAGTTCTCAAAAGCTCAGGATTTTCAACTCTAGAATTTAGATTTTATATTCTCACACACTTCAGAATTATCCATCTGATGCAGGATATCACCATAAGGAGATAAAAATTCATGCAATGATACTCAGGTTTTCCTTTAAAAGAGTAAATCCAATACTTGATGATTCAATGCTATATATAAAGTGCATTGAATAGCTAAAATAAAACAAGTGCCAATTTTATCATGAATTAATAACATATTTATTGTCTTGAAACCAACAGGCCCAAGTTTCTTTTTATCTATATGAGTCAGCTCTCTCTATAAACTCATTTCTTCCAAACTTCTCATGTAATAAAAATCAAGATAGTTCATTTCTTCTTTGCTTTTACAAGAGATGGCAGAGGGATCACGGTAGAAATGTTCTGGATGAATCAGAATCAGAAAGTACTTCTTCTTGAGTAGAAGTTTCATAATCTGCATTTTCAGCTAATTCAATATCTAACTCATCATTACTCTCGGCACTGTAATCAACTTCTTCGAGGAATCGAGGTTCATCTTCATCCAAAACGTAAGTGGTAGGGCTGCAGCCAAAGCACACAGAATACACAGGTCTTCATTAGGTTACAAGATTCTAAGAAAATGATTATTTGAATACACTGGAGTAACTTTTATTTGAATGTAATAAATCTGGTCGGGCCAACTTTAAAAACGTTATCCAAATGAACAAATTAAGAGATTTATAATAGTTGAAAACCTTCTTACTTTGATAATAAAGAGTGAAATGCTAGTTTTTAATTATACTACAAGTATCAATATATATCCTACAATTAGAGAGCAACAAAAAACAATAGACTCTCATTAGGTTACTTCTTTGAGGAGTTTCATCTATAAACCCAGCAACCAATAATTTCAGTAAGCTTTATAAGAAACTGTGAGTAGCCCTGCCCAGTGCAGCTCAGTTGGTTGGATGTCGTCCTGCACACCAGAGGTTGCCAGTTCAATTCCCAGTCAAGGGTATATGCCGGGGTTGCACACTCAGTCCCCAGTAAGAGTCAGCTGGTGGATGGTGCACTCTCATATCAATGTTTCTTCCTCTCTCTCTCTCCTCTCCCTTCCTCTTTCTCTAAAAATCAATAAAGTATAAAAAAAGAAGAAACTGGGTTTTTAATTGGTTCTTCCAGTCTTACACTGACATCACTTCTAAGTCTGTAAAGTGATTATTTGCCATAAAAACATATCCATCCTCAGTGTCTATTGGTCAAGAATAAAAATTAAAAACAAGTGAACATTCCATATTCGTATCACTTACTTTCCCTGGGGACACAGAATAATGTATTTGCTTAAAAGCACTAAGTGCTTCTACATATTTCATCAGGTACATTGTTTGGGATTAAGACAATCTTTCCACTAGGATATATATTATTTTCTCTTCAAGAAAAATAGCAGTATTCTGATTTTCCTCATTTGAGAGATTACACACACACACACACACACACACACACACACAATCAACAAAACACTACAGCAGTATTTTCAATGTCCCATTTTGTGACCCCAACTATCTTAATTTCATATAGATACATGTTTGTTTATATACCACCTGCTTCCAAATGGATTTCTCATCACTGGTGCAATTAAAAGCTACAAAATCAGACAATAAAAAGGGAACAATAATCTGTTAAAATGAGCAGAGAAGCAGATGTCATTAGACCCCTAAAATGAAAGAATTCGTGCTACTGAGTATCAAATTCGCTCCAGATAGCTGCAAGTTTGGGCAAGAAAAATAAGTGAATGGATTATAAGGTTCCAATTTTCTAGAAGAGAATGCAAATTCATCTGGTAAGAGTATTCTTTTTCCTAGAATTGTTTTAATTTTGTTCACTAAATAAGAGAAAATAATGTATTACAAAACCATCTTGACATTACATATAGAAAACAACCTCTTTCTATGATGGAGTAGTCCTCATAAACCAAGCTGAGTGGCCTGGAGGATTATGGGAGAATTTACAACAGACCTCACATTCATAAAAACAAGTGTACAGCTTTCAATTATACATCTAAAATATTTATGATGACTCTGTTATATCTTTAGAGTGAAGAGTTAGATTAAAAGAAAAATTTATTTGCCTTTCAAAATGATTATTTTCTTTCTTTTGAGAAACTAATTCATTCCTCTGCTTAACCTTGTTATTTCAAATTCACAGGATGTCTCAGGTGATTCTTCAAATAAAAGGTTAGCTGAAGCTTTCGAGGGGAAAAGAGAGTGAGGAGAGAAAGCAAGAAAAGACCAATTTCTTGCCACATACTTGCTTGTTTTCTTCCTGGACACTGTCATAATAAGACATGATCATCCTTATACTCAGAGTGGACCAGTTTCATACCCCTATTCCACTCGTAACCCATACTGGCCCTGATGGTTAATTTGAAAATATAACAAAATCATGTTCCTAGCCTGTCACTGAAGGATACAGAGTGCCTCCAGCAATGGTGATGGGACTGGGCTCTCATCTTATATACTGGGAGGTGGAGGGTGAGCAGCAGAGGAGGTAAAGGGAGGAGTGATCAGATCTAGGTTCAAGGAACTGGAGGAACACTGAGAGAGAAGGGAAGGGAGATTAAATCCCATCACTCCACAGAAAGCAGCCTTCTTACTGCTATTCCAGCTGCCACTTTCCAGTCCGTTTTTTCTAGGTCTCTCTGCTGTGCTGACTGTGGGGGAAATTCTGACTCTCCTCTGTCTTTCCTCAAGGCTGGCCAAGGGCTCTTCACCCCTTGTGTATGCCGCAAAAGTAGGTGCTCATAACAATGCTCTGTTTTCTTGTATGGATGCCCTCTCCAAGTGAGTTAATGTATTTTAATTTACATTCTGATCATTTCCAAATCCAAATGTCTAGCCCAGCTTCTGCTTTAATTTTTCCTGTGTATGCCTGGACTTGCTAGTATAGTCACATGTCTATCTCACAGGCACCTTGTGAATGTGGCACGTTCAACTGATGGGGCACATACATTGTTCTCACCAAGCCAGCTTCTCTGGCATTTTCTCAGTATCATTCACTGAGTCATAAAACCAAAATTCTCAGTAAGCACGTCCTGCCAATCAATGTCCAGACCACTTCCTGCCTCACACTTTACAGGTCTTCACTTACAGGACACTGTTTCCTCTGCTTAGGACGCACTTCACATCTCCCTTCTCACCACTCACCATTTCTTTTAAACCACAGCTTGTGCTCATCTTTACATGTCTTCCTTTCTTAAAGCTCAGCGTGGGATAAGAGCCCTTTCTCTTTACTCCCTTTGCACTCAGAACAAACATTCCACCTGATCACTATCAGAAGCCATTGAAACCATCTACCTGTGGGGGCCTGTGTTCTCAGTACTAAATCATAAGCATTTTAAAGTCAGAAACTGTGACTTACCCATCTTAGTACCAATATGGCGGCTCCCAAAAGTGCCTGACACATTGCAGGCCTAAAGGAAATGTCCACTGCGCTGTCTATGAGGAGCCACGGTCTGCAAGATCAGTGACTTTCACCTCACCCCCTCCCACTGATTTCATTTTAGTAAAAAAATTAAGGCACAAGACTGATCACAGCAATTCAGTTTCACTTTTATTAATAATTACAACATACATTTTAAGTACATTACAATTTAGGAAGTACATTCATACACATTATCACACAATAACCATCACCTAAGAGAAAGATTTTAAGGTAATTTGCCCTAGGGTTATAAAATAATTAATCCCTTTCCATTAGTAGATAGGAATTCAAATATTTCAATCATAAAAAATGTCTAATCAACATTTAATTCTTTCCCATTGCTGTAATTTTGGTTTCCCACCACTATTTCCTCATTTCCCTCATTTTCTTCATGTAAATTACTCCTTTTACCCTGTTTTTGCTTCATTTTCCAATAACTGTCCGAGATACACCTGCCTGAATAGCCTTTTATTCTGGATTTTAATTCTTAGTGTAAAGTTGACAAAACCAAAAACAATTCAATATGGAACATTTCATTCTAAAAGAAAATAGCATTTTAGTCTAAATACAAATCCTCCTTGGGCTGCTTCAAGAAAAATACAAAACCTTCACCCAAAGGGCCTTCTCACAGATGAAGGCAGTAAAATTCTCTGCTGCATGGTGTCATCGTGATGCAGAAAAGGTTTATAATAGCAACTATTTCTAAATTAGGAAAAAACTGTGCTTCATTCAGATTCAACGCATTATAGCTATCTTCATATTAAGCTATTAATCAGCACTGCACAAAATTAAACCTAAAAAATTCACCATCTTCCTCAAACGTACACCCGTCTACTTCCATTAGAGCTGATTGGCCATCCGAGACATCAGAATGTAGATCTTCAGCTCTGTTACCTATACAAGCATGAGAGAAACAAAACACTGTATATGGAGTCAGAAATTCTCTTGTGCCTCTTCTCTTCTACTAACCAGCCGCATCTTAAGCGAGTCTCTCTCTCCAAGCACCCGTTTTTCTCACGTGTGAAGCCAAGATAACAATTTCAGCCCCACGACCTCACAAATTTGTTTGCCTCAAATTAGGTAGTAAATGTGAAAGCATTTGTGAACTCGTAAGCTGTACAAATATAAAATGTTATTGTGACATTAATAAAGCCTACCTTATTAAAGAAAAGTGTAAATCAAATCTTTCTCAATTCCTAAAGAGCCCACACAAAGAGCTGCCCCAGGCCAATAGGACTAAAAATACTGCCTTACCTTTGTAACTCTTGAGTCCCTCCTTAATCTCATGCTGGGCTACAATTTCAAAACTAACCTATCTATTTTAAGACAGCACAATAAATATAATCTGGAGTAGAATTTCTGGAACTGATGCACAAACAATTCCATGGCCCAAAGTCTCAGCAATTTGTGACTTGCTGATTGTATCTTTGGGTTGAAATGTCAGGTCTGATGTGGCAGAAAATATCTATATGCTTAAATATTGGAGAATATTTTATTTATATAATTTGATTCCTATCTTATAAGAGATATAGCATCTCCTAAACATCACAAAGTGAATAAAATTATCCACAGAAAATACAAGTAACAATTTTGTCCATCTTAAGTGATGGACATATAAGGATACATGTAAGTACTTGTACACATTTACACATGGCACATATAAACACTCAGACTTAATGTATAAAATATCTAACAAGAGAATGTTACTTATTTGGGGTGGGGGGAAAGCTAATTTACACGTATTTTGTTGGAAAGTATAACTAAACTGTCCTTAGGAAATGGTGATTAACTCCCAACTTACTTTATTATTCTGAAAACATTCCTTAGACACCTGGAGGATTAAATGAGTAAATTCTCACATGTCACAGGAGACCTTCAAAAACTGAAGCCACTCCTTTTCGGTTACTTGGAAGAGTCAAGATATAATGGAAGTACAAGGGAATTCTGGAGTTAGACCTGGATGCATTCCTGGTTCTGTTGGAAATTACTAGATGGATGACCTCGGGTAAATGCATCTCTGAGCCTCAGTTTCCCACACATATAAAAGGATTACAATACCAGTTGTCTCTGATCATTCTCAACAAAACACTAACATCTCTGAG